CTATCCCTCTCCCTTCTTCTCTGTAAAAAATCAATAAAATATATTAAAAAATAAAATAAAATAAAATAAAATAAAATTACGAACGAGACAAAGATGGCCAAAACACTGCTCTTATTTCAATACTAAAGGCCCGGTGCACGGATTTGTGCACACTGAAAGGAAATTAATTAGAAGGTGGCCAGCAGGGTGGGACTGGGCGAGATGGGCCAACATGCCCTGGAGCCAACCCCCCGTGGTTCCTCCCCGGCTGGCCGCACCTGGGGTGGTGCCAGGGCTTGAAGGGCGTCTGTGGAGTGAGCAGGGTCCCTCAGGCAGGTGGGGTCCCTCAGCCTGGCCGGCGGATATCTGGCTGAAACCGGCAGTCAGACATCCCCCAAAGGGTCCCGGAGTGTGAGGGGACACTGCAAAGTTGCTGGTGCTTGGCAGCTCCTGCGTTGAGTGTCTGCTCCCTGGTGGTCAGTGTGCGTCATAGCTACTGGTCGGAGCGTCTGTCCCCTGGTGGTCATTGCGCATCATAGCTACTGGTCCGCTAGCCACTTAGCCTTTTATATATATAGACTAGTCTCAAGGCCTCACTAATACAATAATAAATAAAATGCATACAAATAAAAAAGATTCAAAAGTCATTCTCTGCAGACAAAATAATAGCCTAGCTAAAAATTTCAATTAAGCAACTAAAAGACTGTTAGGATTAACAAGAAAATTCAGCAAGTTGGCTGGGTGCAAAGGTTATTTATATTTAGGAAAGAAAAATAAAACTCACATTCACAATGGCAACATCTATAAAGACTCTACCATATACTTTTTTCCCCCACGCTGCTCGTAGCTATGAAGCAGAAGAAAAGGGAAGCAGTGATGGCAGATCCGGAGGACCCCAGGCCAGTCTTCCTGCGCACACACCTCCCAGAGGGAACCAGGTGAGAGCTCTGCTAGGTTAAGGCCCAACGCAGCCACCCCAGGAAGGAAAAACAAAACAAACCGAGCAGGGAACCTTCTGATAGAATCATTGTTCGAAATAGTCACAAAAAGGAACCAATAATTTTGCAACTTAAAAAAGCACTAACACCGACGTGTAGAAAACCTGTGTCCGCCAGGACAAGCTGTGTGACCTTCAACTTACCTGGCCTGTAGGCGCCTCAGAGTTCTCATCTGTATAATGGTCACAACATGACGTTGAGATAATTCACGCAACGAGTTAGCACAACGCCTAGTTAGGGGTAAGCACTCAATTAATGCTAGTATATCACGAGAGGTTGGCATTAGGCCAGGTCTTTCTCCTCCTCGGAACTACCTTCCCCAGTCCCTCGCGCGGCTTGGAACTGGGGACCTGCTCCGAGCAGATGCTGCCAGGCCTGCGGACCAGGAGCCGGGGATCGGGCTGGATCCCGGGCTCAGCAGGCGGGCCTCGGTGTTCTCGTCTGTGAAATGGGCACGCGGAGCCGGCCGTGCCCAGCTTACAGACAGGCTGCAGGGGGTCCGGCTCGGAGGGAAAGGGGCCG